TGTGGTCCGAACTGGCAGCCTCACCATGCCTTATCACACTATGGATGCCACTACGCTTCTTAAATCTCTCAAACCAACCTTTGCTGGCCTTAAATTCACTCACATCATCACTAGTTGCAGGCATTTTTTTAATTAAATCCTCATGCAACTTCCTAGCCTTTTCACATATGATCGCTTGAGAGACGCTGTCTCCTGCTAGCTGTTTTTCATTTATCCACACCAATAAGAGTCTCTCAACATCTTCCATCACTTGCGATCTTTGTTTCGAAAACACAGTTAAACCTTTGGCAAGAACAGCTTCCTTGATTGTCTTTCTGGTGCCCACAATAGTAGCGATGGTTGATTGGGGTTTCTTGTACAACTTGACTAGGTCGGCGATACGCACTCCACTTTCATACTTATCAATGATCTCTTTCTTCATTTCAATGGGAATTCTCACCCTTATTGGTGTACGGTTGGCACTAGAAGCTTTCTTGGGGCCCATGGTCACTTATTTTCCAGAAACAGCACCGAAAACACTGTAATACAGTGGACCCCCGGTTAACGATTTTAATCCGTGCAAGAGGGGTAATTGTTATGCGAAATAATCGCTATGTGAATGAATTTTCCCCATAAGAAATAATGGAAATCAAATTAATCCGTGCAAGACACCCAAAAGTATGAAAAAAAAATTTTTACCACATGAAATATACATTTTCCCACACACAAAGAGAAGGATACATGCACAATAGTAGAGTAGTACATGCACAGTATATATTGTGCATGTACTAGTCTACTAAATGAAGAATAAATGACACTTACCTTTATTGAAGATGCAGCAATGACTGATGAGACACTGTGTCCTGGGAGTGCCTTTTCCTCCTGAGTACTGTAGGTCCTGTTTGGCATTTTCTTCCAGAACAGGCCTTATCACACTGTGTATGCCACTACGATTCTTAAATCTCTCAAACCAACCTTTGCTGGCTTTAAATTTCACCAATATGAGCACTAGTTCCAGGCATTTTTCCCTGTTCACCTGGGTGTTAGTCGACTTGTGTGGGTTGCATCCTGGGAGACAAGATTAAGGACCCCAATGGAAATAAGTTAGACAGTCTTCGATGACACTGACTTTTTTGGGTTATCCTGGGTGGCAAATCCTCTGGGGTTAATTGTTTCTTGGTATCTCAGTAAGCCACACCAACAACGGTGCTACAGCAGCAGCAGCAGCTGACAGTGCAGCAGCAGCAGCAGCTGCAGTGAGCAGCAGCAGTACCCCAAGTAGCGATGGTTGATTGGGGTTTATTATACAACCTGGCCAGCTCGGAGACATGCACTCCACTTTCATACTTATCAATGATCTTTTTCTTCATCTCTATTGTAATTCTCACCCTTATTGCTGTAGGGTTGGCACTAGAAGCTTTCTTGGGGCCCATGGTCACTTATTTTCCAGAAAAAGCACCGAAAACACTGTAATAATACGAAATATTCCGATTGTATGCTTGGATGTTACCGTGGAGGCTGGCTGGTAAACAATGCCACCGGCGGAACATGTGAGCGTGGCTCAGGCCGCACATTGGACGCGTCTCGGACGAAAATCGGTAAGCGGGTTTTTAAGCGGTATGTGAGGCAAAATTTTTGCAATTAAAGTAAGCGGTATGCGAAATAATCGCTATGTGATGCCATCGTTATGCGGGGGTCCACTGTAATACGAAATATTCCGAGTGTATGCTTGGATGTTACCGCGGAGGCTGGCTGGTAAACAATGGCATGGGCGGCACATGTGAGGTTGGCTGAGGGCGCACATTGGACGCGTCTCGGACGAAAATCGGTGAGCGGGTTTTTAATCGGTATGCGCGGCAAAATTTTTGCGATTAAAGTAAGCGGTATGCGGATTAATCGCTATGTGATGCCATCGTTATGCGGGGGTCCACTGTATTACTATACATAATTAAAAACTATAGTATTTGTTGTATGTAAAACTGTAATTAATCTCTATAAAATGTATTTTTTGTGTGAATATTTTTGGGTTTCTGGAATGGATTAATTGTATTTCCATTATTTCTTATGGGAAATATTGCTTCGAATTTCAGTCTTTTCGAATTTAGAACTAGCTCCTGGAACAGAATTAAGTTTGATTTTTGAGGTTCCAGTGTATACCAAAGTTTACCGTGTGAGCGGCATTCACCAATGTTGCCATACGCAGCTTATTTTCTGCCAAATTTACTTCTCTATATCTCGGTAAGTACTGATCGCAAAAATGTGGGGGGGGGGGGCGCTTAAAACAATCAAAAAATTAATCTTAACATTTTCATAAGTTTTTTTTTTTTTTAATATTCTTTGACACCAGGAGACACTTCACGATTTGGGGTTGCGAGTTCTTGAGCGTTAGCCAAGCCAATACAGTGGACCCCCGCTTAACGATCACCTCCCAATGCGACCAATTATGTAAGTGTATTTATATAAGTGCGTTTGTACATGTATGTTTGGGGGTCTGAAATGGATTAATCTACTTCACAATATTCCTTATGGGAACAAATTCGGTCAGTACTGGCACCTGAACATACTTCTGGAATGAAAAAATATCGTTAATCGGGGGTCCACTGTATTTTGACACAAAAACATGCCGCTATCAGATTTTGGTATTAGCCGATGCCGCCTTTACCTGAAGGTCCACTGTACTTGCATAAACTTACACGCTGCCTTCCACACTGACCTCCCCACCACCCATGCTACCTTCCCCACCACTCATACTGTCTTCCCCACCACTCACATTGTCTTCCCTTTTCACTATCTGTATCTGGTATCCTGGACATTGCTTTCAGTCACAGATTCCTCAAAACTATGAAATTCATCTTCACTGACACTTTCATCTGTGTTAGAACTATCAGTTGGGAAAAGAAGAGTCCCAAATTAGCCAGGGAGTGAGGTATTCCTTACCACTAGGCATCGTGAACAGGGTTTACTGAATTGGCACTCCCACATTCACTGCAGCCTTCCACATTGTTTTCATACTGTGCACACTGAGCACACAGACCCATTCTCCCACATGTAGGCCTACCAGCTTTCTCCCACCAGATCTGAAGCTGCTAGAATTTTGGCATAGTATTACAGGACTGACAGTGAAAGGGTTAACCCTTTCAGGGTTGGTGCCATACCAGTACGGCTTGCACGCCAGGGTTGGTGCTGTACTAGTACGCATAAATTCTAGTGCCTTCAAATCTAGCGAAAGAAAGCTGGTAGGCCTACATATGAAAGAATGGATCTATGTGCTCAGTGTGCGTAGGATAAAAAAAATCCTGCAGCACACACTGCATAATGAGGAAAAAAAACTCCAACCATGTTTTTGGTTTAAAACAGCGACTGTAGTATATTTTCGTATGCTGTTTATGGTGGTATTCTAGTTTTCCTGGTCTCATTTTATAGAATGGAAGACATATTATGGAAATTGAGATAATTTTGATTGGTTTCGCAATGAAAAGCACCTTGTAACTGAGCTCCAAGTAGCAGAAATGTTCGATTTTTGTCAAAGTTCAAAGGTAAATAAATCATGCCACGCATCCAATACATGTCAGTTGGTGAGTTGAATATTCTTTCATAAGTGTGCTGATATTATTTATACCATTTCTACACAAATGCAGTAGTCTGCATAACATAAATCTTCTATTTTTTATGAGAATAAAAATTCAAAGTGGAAAGCCAAAGAAATGTAAGAGAGGCCTGGGGTCATGAGTAATGAACAGAGGAAATGTTATTTTAGTGCCAGGAATGTCTGTCTTGTTTATTCTGGACTATTTGGAAATTGGCATCTTTTGAAATTTGAGAGAAATTGGCAAAATTGCCAATTTCTGGCCACGTTATTGGTTAATTGAAATCGGTAAATTGGTGGTTTCTTGTACTCATTTGATAGACAAAATGGAGTTCTAGAGAGATAGGTATGATTTTATGTGGACTGGTACATTGGAATTGGCCGATAATAGGGCTCAAAGTGGGCGAAATCGCCGATGCGTAAACTTTGTCGAGATTGCTAACTTCGCAAGAGCATAAGTCCGTAAGTTTTCCATTAAATTTCATACTTTTGGTGTCGTTGTGATTGGGAAAAGATTCTCTATCAAGTGCCCCAGAGTGATTATTATTACAGTGGTACTTCAGGATACGCACATCTCAAAACTCGAATGTTTATGTAAGTACTTTTGTAAGTGTATTTTTGGGGGTCTGAAACGGATTAATCTGATTTACATTATTCCTTACAGGAACAAATTCATTTGGTATCGGCACTCGAACAGCCTTCTGGAACAAAAAAAATTCGATATCCCGAGGTACCACTGTATTATTATTATTATTATTATTATTATTATTATTATTATATTATTATTGTGTCTAAACACTAGTCAGGCAGTCTTAGTGATTTTAATGTGTGCCTGCATGCCAGTACAGTGTATAAGTTTATTTAAGTACAGGTACGTATAAGTACGTACAATTATCAGAGTAAATATAAAATATGCAGTAACTTTAAAAGACTTGAAATTTTTGAAAGTTTCCAGACAAAATCGAGACAGAGCTCGCAGAGGATGTGAACAAGAGTGACGTGCGGATGCCATAATAGCGAATCAGGCAGCCGTATAAAAAAATTATTTGTTATAATTTGAAATGTTCTTATTAGCGTATCACTGTAAAGCGGAGCCCTACTGTATTGTATACTTATCCTCTTTCATGAACTATGTTGCCTATTACCAAACCTCTTTCTATACAAAGTTCAAGGGGCCCCCATTATCATTTACCCCTGGCACCCCAAACTTAGTACATTCTCTACGGTGGTTGCTCTCGCTTTAACATTTAGATTTTTTGAGATTTTTAAAGTTAAATGGAGAAAGGTTCCACACACATAGCTACTCTCTCTCCAGGATAGAAAATGTCACCCACATATAGAATAAAAAGTAACATACAGTAGTACACAGTTTTGGAGCATCTCAAAATTTGTTTTCAGTTTTGTATGAGTGATTTTAAATCTAGAATTTCCTTAGGTTCAGTTGTTTCAGTGAAGAAGGACGAGGTTCAAAGAATGTTGGACCACTTCAATATACAAGTTGACAACCCAATTACAATTCTCAATCAGGATATGTCTCGAGATTTCCTGAACACAGCGGTAAGTTCAGATTAATGTGAAGCAGTTTCAGAATAAATACATACAGATTTTTTTTTTTTTTTACCTCAACAGCCATCTCTCTCCTACCAAGGGAGGTGACAGAAAGACACTTATTCATTCAGTTGCATCTTCCTAGAAGTATGCTAATGTTAAAACTAGTCGACACCCTGATGGTAACATCCCCATCCCTCCTTCAGAGTGCAGGCACTGCCCTTCCCACACCAAATGACTCAGTCCCACAAACCAGTTTTCCCCTGAATCCCTTCCTAAGTGTCTTCTTGCTTATACTTCAGTAGCATGTCCATTAAAAAATACTTTGCTCCAGTCACTCTTGTCTAACATGTTCACACAACTTGCTTAATGCTCAAGCCCCTAAAATTCAAACACACTTACCCCCTTCCTCCAACTCTTCCTGGGATGACTCCTACCCAGAATCTAATGTGTGTTGTTTATAGCACCAATGGTATCACTGTTACTGCTGTTTGGATACTGTTGGTGGAGTGCTCTTGGCATAAGTAAAGTTTTTGATAAAACTGCAAAACTCTGTATCATTTTAAGTGTGGCTGAATTTTTTTTTTTTTTTTACACAGGACCAGACACTCATTTAACGTATCACACATGAAGAAAGAAGCATTTGAAATGTTAAATTCCTTGAAAAGAGAATTCTTAGGTTTTAATGTAAAAAACCTTGGCAGTATCAGCAAATCATGGTTATCATAATTATTTAAATGAAAATGTTATATATTTTATATTTTGGTTTCAGGACTCAAAAGGCTTGTACAAGTTTTTCCTTAAGGCTACACAACTGCAGCAAATGAAAGATGATTACAATCATTTGCAAAAGGCACTCAAGATCTCTTCTGATATTATTCAGAACCGGAAAGAGGTAAGTTTTGTTAATGCACCAAGAATTCTTTCCTCATGATTTTCTTATTCACTAATCATTATCTTGCTTTAATTTTATATTAAAAGTATAATTTAATCACTTGGACATACAGTAGGTATACATTAGGAGTGAGTGGAGGCAAATGTTTTTTGGGGACTTGATGAGCTGTTGGAGTGTGAAGGGATTCAGGAAAACTGGTTAGCTGCACTTGAGCCCTGGAGGTGGGAAGTACAATGCCTTCACTTTAAAGGAGAGGTTTGGGATATTGGCTATTTGGAGTGACATTTAAACTGTCATATCAGAGCACCTTTACAAAGACAGTGATTATGTGTGAATGATGGTGAAAATGCTTATTTTTTGGCTCACCCTTTCTCAGTGGGAGATTTGGGTTTAATGAGCAACCTTTAACTGAAAGGTAGCACAACATTGTCTTCTCTTTGCAATTAACAGTGAATAGAAAATATCTCAAAACCATTGATGGTTACTACTGAATTGTTGTGCAAAATTTCTATAGGAAGAACTCTGGACATTTTCCCAGTCTGAACTCTTTCAGTTGACGAATTTTTTGAGCAGCTTGCTGGCTTACCCACCATACAGTACTTGACATAATGGGAAGTGATTATCATGAAGTATAAACCCACAGGGAAATTGGGAGTTATTCCAAAGTACAGTGGTCCCTTGTTTTTCGTAGTTCTCGGGAATCATAGATTTCAGAAATCATAGGGATATTTTCGTATAAACATGGGCTCGCTAATCATAGGTTGACTCGCGAATAGTAGTTCGTCCGGGATGTGTATGCATGGTGTGAGCCGGGGCGGCCTCCCTACCCAACCAGTCTGGCATTGTTTACCAGTGAGCGAAGGTCCCCTCACATGTTCCTACGAAATATTTCATAATATTCCACTCATTTTAGTTCTTGCAAGTACTAAATAAGCTACCATGGCTCCAAAGAAAGCTCCTAGTGCCAAGCCTGTGGTAAAGAAGGTGAGAAATATGATTGAACACTTCAGCATCCTCCATTGCATAACCCTTATAGGTATGGCTTGGGAGGGAGTGACTACCAGGACTTTGAACTCTGCTTGGAGAAAATTGTGGCCAGATTGTGTCGACAAGAGGATTTTGAAGGGTTTGGGACTGACCCTGATGAGCCTATGTCTGTTGTAAAATCAATTGTGGCACTGGGGAGTTCCATGGGGTTGGATGTGAGTTTGGAGGATGTGGAAGAATTGGTGGAAGACCACAACGAAGAGCTCACCACTGAGGAGCTGCAAGAGCTTCAGCAGGAAGAGCAACAGATTGCAGCTCAGAATCTTGCTGCAGAGGAGGAGGAAGAGAGATGGAAGAAGGTGCCTTCTTCAGAAATTAAAAGAGATTTTTGCTATGTGGGGTAAGATGGAAAGCTTTATGGAGAAACATTACCCTGACAAGGTTGTTGCAAGCCATGTTGGCAACATGTACAGTGACAAAGTCTTGGGCCATTTTAGGAAAGTGTTAGAGACGCCAGAAACAGAGCTCTCTCCACAGTTATTTTGCGAGACAGGACTCCAGTGACTCAAGGTGGTCCTAGTGGCATTAAGAAACAGAGAAGAGAAGCAACCCTAGAAAAGCAATTGGTACCTGAGGTGTTGATGGAAGGGGATTCCCCTTCCAAACTGGAAACAATCCAATCTCTCTCCTCCTCCAGTCTTCTATACACTAAGAAGAATCTCCAATAAAGGTAAGTGTTATGCTGTTAATGTTTCATTCATCATTTCCCATTGTATTGTTTATGTACTACATCTATATTTCATGTAAAAAAAATTTTTGTTTTAATACTTCTGGGTGTCAGGAACGGATTAATTGTATTTACATTATTTCTTATGGGGAAAATTGATTCGAATATCGTAGATTTCGATAATAGTAGCAACTCCAGGAACGGATTAACTACGAAAAACGAGGGACCACTGTATGTGGAGTATGTCAAGAAAGCATTCTACATGATGAACATGTTAGGAAGAAGCAGTTCTAACTAACATGGTGAAATATCATGTAGATCAAGGGTAGCTACACCATGTGGTGTTCAAATTTTAATAATAAAAAATTATTTTAGACATTGACTTGCAACTGTTTTGAAGACATAATTCAGAAGTCTCTCTTTATTCATGTTAGCACCAAGCCTATGTTACATAGTCACAATTGGCAGGAATAATCAACCCATGTTCAGAGTGTCAGTCTTGTTTGTTAAATAGCAAGTTTGAATGTTTTTTTCCTGGCATGTATTGAAACAATAATTTTTATAATTTAATGCTATTTCAGCATTTACCATTGCTTAAGAAGGAAGTTGATGAGCAGCGGACCCAGTATGAATTTTCTGTGAGCCTTAATGATAAGAGGAAGAAGTTACATGAATTACGCAAAGAATTAGTGTGGGCAATGGTAAGTGCAAATTTTTTTTGAACTTACTGTTTCGTGGTTGTATCAAAATGAGTTTTGAAAAATATTTTACGTTCAATATGAAAATGAGAAACATTTCTCTTTAACCCTTGATTGTCGCAAACCCCTTCTTGAAACTGTCATTCTATGTTGCAGAATTTTTTGGGAAAAAAAAAAATTATTTTTTTCTTATGAAATAATAGAGAATCTTTTCCCAATGGTAATGACACCAAAAGTAAGAAATTTGATCGAAAACTCGCGAAATTATGCTCCCGCGAAGTTAGCGGTCTTGGCGACATATATGCATCGGCGGTTTTGCCGACTTTGAGCCCTGTTTTTTGCCAATTCCGTTGTTCCAGTTGACCAAACTCATAGCTATTTTTTTAGAACTCCATTTTTTCTATCAATTGAGTACAAGAAACTGCCCATTTACTGATTTGAACAACTTGGCCAATTTCACGCAAATTAAAAAAGATGCCAATTTCAAAATAACATATCCCCTCTTATATTACTGTTGCTTTGAATTTTGATTTTTTATTCATACGAAAAATACAAAATTAATGCTATGCAGACTACTGCATTATTGTAAAAATGGTATAAATAATATAAGTGCACTTGTGAAAGAATATTAGACTCCCCAGTTGATGTGTATTGGACGTGTTGTGTGATTTGCTTACTCTTGAACATTGGTAAAAATCGAACATTTCTGCTACTTTGAGCTCAATTTCAAGGTCGTTTTCATCGTGAAACTAATCAAAATCATCTCGATTTCTGCAATATGTTCGCTGTTTTATCATGTGAGACCATGAAAACGAGAATACAACGATAAATACTATACGAAAACACACCTCAAAGTCGGCGTTTTAATCCAAAAAACTGACTTTTTTTTTTCATTATGCACTGTGTGCAGCAGGATTTTTTTATGTGATGCACACAGACCATTCTCTCACATGTGGGTCTACCAGCTTTCTCCTGCTTGATTAAAAGCCTCTAGAATTATTGAGTGTATATACATCCGAAACATTGGCTCGTAAGACGTATATATATGACCAAAACAGTCAAAGGGTTAAAAGTGTTAAAAAAAAGTTTGCTTTATGTATACAGTACAGTAGGGCCCCGTTTTACTGCGTTTCGCCTTACGGCATTCCGTTAATATGGCGATTTCAAATTATGACCAGAACTCTGGATGGCAAGCAGCCTTTCTAATATGGCGCGCCCCACCAGGTTTGTTTACATTATCCGTGAGCACATCTCTCTATTATGTCTGGAAACTTTCCAAAATTTCAAGTGTTTTAAAGTTATTACATATTTTACATGTATTCTGATAATTATACCTGTGTGTACCTGTACCTAAATATACTTACACACTGTGCTGGTGTGCTGATACACATTAAAATCACTAACAGTGTCCCTCTAGTCTTAACGCCATAGTAATAATACTAATACGTACGTAATAATAATCACTCTTGGGCACATTAAATGTCTTATTTTACATTAACCCTTTCAGGGTTGATAGGCACTCTCCCAAACTTGTTCTCAGGATCGAAAAATACAGGTCCTCCATTACAAATCCGGCATCATGGGACCTGTACTGTGCCGGATTACTGAGTTTGCTGGATTACAGAGTGGTTAGGCTAGAATACACTTAATAAAATTAACCAACTTGACTTACACAAAGTTCATTGAGCATCGGCAAAAATCAAACATTTCCACTACTTTGAGCTCAACTTCAAGGTACTTTTCATTATGAAAGCAATCAAAATCGTATCTATTTCTGTAATATATCTTCCGTTCTATCAAATGAGACCAAAAAAACGAGAATACAACCATAAAAACCATACAAAAATATACCACAAAGAGGCGGCTACGTTAAGAAACATCTTTCCATCATACATTGCCCAAGTTTCAATGAGATAGCCCAACAAACAACTGAGAAAAAAACAATATTTACCAAAAATCATGGCAAACCCAAGCCAGGTACTGAAAATAAGACTTTATTGGGTTATCCTAGGTTCTCTATACATACGCTGCTATGTATGATAATCTATGTAACTGTATTTGTGTACAGTACCTGAATAATACATACGCTGCTATGTATGATAATCTATGTAACTGTATTTGTGTACAGTACCTGAATAAACTTATTTACTTACTTCTAGTCTGTTGACTGAGTACAAGAAACCGCCCATTCACCTATTTCAGCTACCCAATAAAGTGGTCAGAAGTTGGCAATTTGGCCAATTTCACAGATGCCAATTTCAAAATAGTCCAGAATAGACAATGCAGACATTCCTGGCACTAAAATAACAATTTCTCTGTTCATTAGTCATGGCTCCAGGCCCCTCTTATATTACTCTTGCTTACCATTTGGAATATTTATTCACACAAAAAAATAGAAGATATACTGTTATGCAGACTACTGCACTATTGTAATAATTGTATAAATACAGTGGACCCCCGCATAACGATGGCATCACATAGCGATTTTTCCGCATACCACTTACTTTTATCGCAAAATTTTTGCCGCTCATACCGATTAAAAACCCGCTCACCGATTTTCGTCCGAGACGCGTCCAATGTGCCCTCACATGTGCCGCCCGTCCCATTGTTTACCAGCCAGCCTCCGCGGTAACATCCAAGCATACACTCGGAATATTTCGTATTATTACAGTGTTTTCGGTGCTGTTTCTGGAAAATAAGTGACCATGGGCCCCAAGAAAGCTTCTAGTGCCAACCCTGTGGTAAAAAGGGTGAGAATTAGTATGGAAATTAAGAAAGATTTTGAAGGGTTTGGGGCTAACCCTGAGAAGCCTATGCCAGTTGTGGAATCCATTGTGCCTACTTCAAAGATTAAGGAAATGTGTGCACAGTGGGTTGAACTGCAAACCTTTATAGATGAAAATCACCCTGACACAGCTGTTGCAAGCCGTGCTGGTGACTATTTCAATGACAATGTTGTGGCCCATTTTAGGAAAGTCTTGAAGAAACGGGAGGTACAGAGCTCTATGGACAGATTTGTTGTGCGACAGAGGTCCAGTGACTCTCAAGCTGGTCCTAGTGGCATTAAAAGAAGGGAAGTAACCCCGGAAAAGGACTTGCTACCTCAAGTCGTAATGGAAGGGGATTCCCCTTCTAAACAGTAAGAAGATAATGCTCTCCCCTCCTCCCATCCCATCAATCATCACCAGATCTTCAATAAAAGTAAGTGTCATGTAAGTGTGCATGCCTTTTTCAGTTTGTGTGTATTAAAATTAATATTTCATGTGGTAAAAAATTTTTTTTTTCATACTTTTGGGTGTCTTGCACGGATTAATTTTATTTCCATTATTTCTTATGGGGAAAATTCATTCACATAACGATTATTTCGCATAACAATTATTTCTCTTGCACGGATTAAAATCGTTAACCGGGGGTCCACTGTAATGTCAACCCATTCTTGACTGCGTATTGGAATTTGGACTGGCAGGTGGACAGGTATTGGACAGTTACATCATTTGTTTACTCGAGCATCGCTAAAGAATAGAACTTTTCTGCTACTGTGAGCGCAATTTCAAGGTACTTTTCATCATGAAAGCAATTAAAATCATATCTATTTCTGTAATATATCTTCCATTCTATCAAATGAGACCAAAAAAACGAGAATATAACCATTGTGATGAATGGTTTGAAAAACCGACAGGTTGAAGATTGAGACACTTATGCAACATTTGGGAATCTTTATTCAGGAAACGTTTCGCCACACAGTGGCTTCATCAGTCCAATACAAAGTAGAAAGGCGTAAGGAGAGGAGGAGTTTGAGGTAATCAGTCCCTCAGCCTGGAGTCGATGTGTTCAGTCCATCAATCTTGTAGAATGTACTGGATGTATTGGACTGATGAAGCCACTGTGTGACGAAATGTTTCCTGAATAAAGATTCCCAAATGTTGCATAAGTGTCTCAATCTTCAACCTGTTGGTTTTTCAAACCATTCATCACAACTGTCAGACACTGCAGCATCATGGGATCTTGTTACAAAGAATTCTTCAACATTTGCCCAACCTTTGGACGAAGACCTACTTCGACTAGTGGATGATACCACTATGACCCCACCTCCTCCTGCTTTGCCTCACCTCACTACAGTATATAAGCCACGTCTACGGCCCTATGCTGTATATTCTACAAGATTGATGGACTGAACACATCGACTCCAGGCTGAGGGACTGATTACCTCAAACTCCTCCTCTCCTTACGCCTTTCTACTTTGTATTGGACTGATGAAGCCACTGTGTGGCAAAACGTTTCGAGAATATAACCATAAAAACCATACAAAAATATACTGCTAAGCAGCCGTTAATGGCTGAGAAGTGAACTCCGCTATTTATGGTCTGATTTCTTTCATTTTGGTGTACATTAACCCTTTCAGGGTCCAAGGCCAAGTGTCCAAGTGTGACCATGGCGTAATAGCGCACAAAATGCGCGCTAAAGGAATAACAGGAAAAGTCGGTCGATGGATCTATAATTTCCTCACTAACAGAACACAGAGAGTAGTCGTCAACAGAGTAAAGTCCGAGGCAGCTACGGTGAAAAGCTCTGTTCCACAAGGCACAGTACTAGCTCCCATCTTGTTCCTCATCCTCATATCCGACACAGACAAGGATGTCAGCCACAGCACAGTGTCTTCCTTTGCAGATGACACCCGAATCTGCATGACAGTGTCTTCCATTGCAGACACTGCAAGGCTCCAGGCGGACATCAACCAAATCTTTCAGTGGGCTGCAGAAAACAATATGAAGTTCAACGATGAGAAATTTCAATTACTCAGATATGGTAAACATGAGGAAATTAAATCTTCATCAGAGTACAAAACAAATTCTGGCCACAAAATAGAGTGAAACACCAACGTCAAAGACCTGGGAGTGATTATGTCGGAGGATCTCACCTTCAAGGACCATAACATTGTATCAATCGCAGCTGCTAGAAAAATGACAGGATGGATAATGAGAACCTTCAAAACTAGGGAGGCC